GGGATGAACTTGTAGTTTATTTGTGTTTTTCCTCCCACATTGTATACTTCGCTCTACTCTGATGTATTGAGCACTGTTCTACGAAAATCAAATTTTACATTTTATATATATATATATATTACAAGTTTTATTTCCATGATACTTTACTTTGTATTTAGGTTTGGCAATCTTGAAGTTAAGTTCTTTGTTATTTAAACTAAGTAATAGCCGAGAGATAGAAGCAGTTGAATATTACCCACACGCATAAAGTCTAAGTAAAGACTGGTGTCTTAATATCAGTAAAACGAAACCGGAAAAGCATTAAAAAGTTTGTATGACCAGTCCTCAAGTAAGCGAAAGTTCAAGCATAGAATCGTGAGATTTGGCCGAGGACTAACCTCACTCCAAATGATCAAACGCTGTAGTACTTTCTGCGTCTGAAGTAGACAGCAACCGTGAAGACTGCCCAGACTTCTCTTGAGCAAGACGCGTAGTCAAATCCTTGAATGTTTGTGCTAGTTCTTCTACGGAAGAACGCTTATCGGGGCAAAACAATTTTTGAAGTTCTTGAAGTTGGCGATTTGTTTCTCTTTCTTCTGCTTCTTCCTTGGGGAGACCAACGGTGTCTCGTGTTGCCTTCGGGTGTTTGATATTCATGGTGGCCTCGTTGATTTCTTCAATCGCTTTTCTCCTAACTTCCGGTTTTCCTGTGAAGCAGTGAAATCTTTTGTTCGGGAAAAACACGTCTTCAAAACTAGAAATGCCAAGCTCTAGTAAGTTTATCAGCCGTGCAATTGCACTTCCGATCGGAAGAACGTCGAACGCGTTCTTTTCTTTGCTTGGGTCCTTTAACCTCACCAAACGTCGGGCGATCTCAAACAACAAAATCATGTAGGCTTCAATGGTGGCTTCGGGAATATCTTTATTCTGTGTGTTGCCCTTAAAGAGTTTCTTAATATCCTTTGCGAAGGATGTTGTGTTGGTCTCGTAGTGTGCTTTTAAGGCACCATTCAGCGCGTCGTATTTTTTCGCTGGTTCGGTAAACTTGACCTTGCTTTTAGGACGAAGAACCACAATGCCATTGCCAGGTTGGTGCTTTGTAGGACTGGCTGTGAGTCTGTAGAGTGGTTCGTATTCGACCTCATTGTTGTCCTCTGAGCTGTTGCGAATCAGCAAGTAAAAGGTTTTACCCTTCTTGAATTGATCTTCGTCGTTCACAATTAAAGAGAGCAGTGCGACAACTTGTTGACCATAAAAGCCCGTTATATCATAGACTGTTCCTTTCCATTTTTTCGGCATACTGGATGGCCAGTCTTCCTTTAGTAAGGGCTTAGAACCATTAGGAAGTTTATCCTCAAAAAATATTTTATGAGCTTTAACTTGACAATCGAACACAACAGCGTCACGGTAGACGGCGGCTTCAGCCATGTTGAACTTTTTCCCTTTCACATCCTCGTGTCCCTGCTTACTTCTTCACAGTTTGAATGACGTCACACAAGCAGCGGGTAACAGCTGCCTCAGAAGGTTCGAGAAAAATTATTGACCAAAGTGAAAGAAAAGAGAAGGATGCATAACTGTTGAACTGCCCGGTGAAAGAATGTTTAAGGTTACGTTGTTAACTCTTGGCTTGTCAATTCGAAATAAACTGTCTGTACTGGTTTTCTGAAGGGAAATATAAACATTTCGACTTTACCCGTGAGTGACCGCCAGTCTACACAAGATTTCGGTCGCTGGATTCTATGTTCAGGAAAATACACGTGTAGAGTGAACAGCAAGAAACTAGGAGGAAAGTAGTTTTTATTAACTTTCAGTTTTGTAGTTATCTCTCCTTTTGATTTCCTACGTTTAATGTACCCTTATAAATTAAAGCGTAAATAATTTCCCGTCCCGGTTCAATAGGCCATTTCCGCGTTGCCTTTTGCCTCTTTGTCAAAATGAACCTTCATGCGAAACCAATTCACATGCAAATGCGTTTCGCCTACAGGTTCATTTTCATGTAATCGAACTCTTTTCCATATGAAAGGTTTGCGCGAAGACTCGTTTTGAAACAGAGGCCCAAGGTAACTCGAAAATGGCCTATTTAGCAGCTGATTATATTAATCCAACAACAACCGTATTTAGTTTATGATTAATCCGTAGGATAATCGAATTTGCCTAAACGTTATGTGCTCGATTGGAATTTGTGTTCGATTTTGTTTGATTAGATCCCTTTGGAGAAATATATAAAGTCGAAGGAGGAATATTCGATCCAGTGTATTTATCCTTCAAATATTTCTACACTCACTAGGGCACTCTGTTTCGTAGGAAGATCTCGGTCTTCTAAGGGAAGCTTTTAGCTTATTATATTCTTCTACAGTTGAGCCCCTATTAAGCGGCCACCTATTAAACGGCCGCCCCTATTAGGCGACCAGTAATCGAAGTCCCGATGAGGGCTTTTCTATTGTTTATTTCTATTAAGCGGCCACTATCCATTTCCCCGAGGGTGGCCGTTTAATAGGGTTAAACTGTATTCAATTTCTGAAGCCAATTATTTTAGAAAACGACAAATTTATTGTGTACGAAATGACGGAGCTTGTGTCGGAATTTGGCAAGTGGTGCAGTGAGCAATGTTATCGGGAAGTAGAAAAAACAAAAGTGGTCATCAACCTAAAAATTCTCCTTACATGTGTTGGCCCCCATGCATTCCCTGGGAAGAAGAAGGGAGAACTTCCACCTGTTGTTTGTCAACGTTGCCTGATGCCTACGCTACCAGATAAATTTATTTGTTGTAAACACGGCTCTTCCAATTTGAAATTTCAGTGGCGAGAGTGATCGAGATGTGTTCAATGAAAAACCCTCCAGAGAAGAGATTCTTGCAGCAACTCAGGTAAATAGCTTTTTAAAATTTCTACCACTCACACACTTTATTGAATAATAATGTTGAGAAAAAACTACTTAAATTGTGTCGCGAGCCGTCAACACGGAATGCAGTTTTTAGTTAGTTGTATAAATAGAAACCGAAAGGATTTGTCTGATCCGATCTTCAAAATGTTGCAGAGGATGCGAAACATATCTCATTTGTTTGACCCTTGTGTCTAGTTTCCTATTAGGAAACCCCAGAGTTTTTTTCGTCGTCATTGTGGCTGCTTCTATTTAGGTACGTCTTCAAACAAGACAACGGAAAAANGGGGGGGGGGGGGGGGGGGGGATAAAGCGACCTTTCTTTCCAGTTGACGATCTTTTCGTGATTACTAGACTCTTCCCCTTAGTTCGTCGAGCAAAAGCGAGAGAAAAAATGGTCGCACATAAACAGGGGGCGAGACGCGCGTGAAAACACAATTCACTCCAGAAACTCGTTTCTCGTTTGTAACGCAAAGTTACAACTCGTAATTACTTGGTAGATCACGTTTCGCGAGTCATTTCGCAAATCACGCCAGCCAAAACATACAGACACGACTCAATGAAACACCTGCTTTACTACCCTCAAAGAGCTGGCGGTGGAGACTGCTTTGCATTCAGTAAAGACAAAAACAAACGTTGACCTTTTATGCGTGTGTTGTTATGTTAGGGCTCTGAAGGAACAAAGAAACTCCCTGAAGAGGCCACTCTGCATACCACGATGGGTGACATTACGTTTAAACTATTCTCCAAAGAGTAAGTTTAGAAAAATAATTCTAATAAATAATACTTTAAAACCAGTAGGCTTAGTTAGTTCATTTTCTTCAGTCATAGGGGTGCTGTGAATGGTGCAAAGTTCTCACGGTTCTTTGAATTTTTTGTAGGTGTCCCAAGACTGTGGAAAACTTTGCAACCCACAGCGAGAATGGTTATTACAACTCGAATATTTTCCATCGTGTTATTCATCAGTTAATGATACAGACGGGAGATCCAGAAGGTAAAGGGTGTTTTAAATTTTATTTTGGGCTAAGGGTGTGGTTGGGTATTTATATGCAGCTGCCCTTTTTTTTTTTGCGGCTTGACCGACTGTTCGAAGGTAGGAGGATTCTCTGCCTGGTATCCAGTTTGGTTGTTATTTTTTTTTTAGTTTTTATAGGAAGCTAAGATCGAGTTTAAGCATCGAATCTGTCGCCAGTAAGTCGACGAAAGTCATTTTACACCTGTTCCAATTCCACATTACGGTAATAATTTCAATAATGATAAATTTAAGTTCAGAGTGTAACAAACGTCGCTATGTTCGAGTGTAGCGGTTGTTTCCTATCGCTATGGTTGTGTCGCACGTTTCAAACAGCTAAAACGGCTACCACATTTTGGCCGATCCTTCCTAAAATAGTAACAGTTTTCTCTTCAATTTGTTTTTTATAGTTAATGAAACTGAATAGGATACATATTGTTGGAAAAAAGGATGTTGCCTCAAAACAGAGTAATTTATTGCCTTAGGAGAAAAGGTTATCTAAAACAAATGATACACTTGATATTTGTTATTCCCGGGCTTCCATATAAAATGGGACGGGGTCGCTCATCGGAAATTTTGACAAGAACCTTTACGAAACACGACAAATTCAGATTACGTTTGAGGTAGCTGCCTTCGGACTGGTTTGCTAACAACCCTGAAATACTCTCGTTACTTTGGGAGGGTCGCCACTTTCAAAACAAAGAACCACCCAGGCCTTTGGTTCTTATTCCGCAGCTCCTCTGCTACCATTCCTTGGTGCTTTTCCAGTTCTTCATAGCTTTGTCTTTTTGTTCTTTTATCCCAGGGGACGGTACTGGTGGAGAATCTATCTGGGGTGGAGAGTTTGAAGATGAGTTTAACAGGAATTTAAGACACGATCGACCTTACACAGTAAGCATGGCCAATGCCGGACCAAACACTAACGGTTCCCAGTTCTTCATCAGTGTGGTGCCAACGGTAAGTGAACTTTCATTTCAGTTCCGAAAACGTTTCGCACCCGAAAACTCCCGAAAACGTTTTCTCGCGTTCCTGGAAACGCACTGAAAGTTCGGGCCCAAAAAGCTCAATTCAGTTTTCTCCAATAATTTACGGGAGCTCTTGAGCTCTCGAAAAGCTCTTTCGGGATTTTCTCTTTTTTCCAGTAAATAACGTTCCCCGAAACATTATTTGTTCAAAATAGACAGCCATGCATTAACTTCCATGAAAAGGAAAACTGTAGGGAATCTTTGGATTGGTTGTTTCTCGGTTTTGAATTTTCGCGCGCAAGTAATGACCAATCAGAGATGCTACACGGATCTCTGTAGAATTACGTCATCATTATGGAATTTTCGAATCCAGTCTCTGACATCTCTCGAGCGAGGGGAGCATTGACCGCGTGACTAATCAGCTGTTATCTTTTCATGACAGCCATGGCTAGACAACAAACACACCGTATTCGGCCGTGTGACCAAAGGAATGGATGTTGCACAAGCCATAAGTACCGTGAAGACAAATCCAAAAGACGATAAGCCGTACGAGGAGATCAAGATTATCAATGTGTCATTGAAAGTTTGAAACGTGGACGAAAGACAAACATAACAGGAACTTGACTTCTATTTCTTCACTCCTTGAGGGACGCAGGCTGCTCAATAGCCCTTCTCCCCCCAGAGATGAAGAAGACGGCGAGAAATAAAACCTTTCTGCAACGCTTGTCAAAATGAACTTGTAAAATACTTGTACAGTTTGGAAACAGGTTTGGTGTGAGACGTGATCGAGACTGCGATTTTCCGTAAGAGGTTGCTAGGGACGATAGCACGTGACATGTTGCTATGTAACCTGACGTATTCAGATAGCGACAAACGCACGTGGCAATCTTCGGAGTGCACGTGCTTCTTCTGATTGGCCGATTTAACATCGGAAACTCTTCGGGTGCTTAGTTTTACAAGGATTTTTCAACGAACTGCGCTTGCTCGCTGGATTTTACAAAAATAAAGTATGCAAGGGCGAAAAAAGTGAAACTTAAGACTCCATGTCTCCAAGTAGTAGGAAGTACTATCAGCAAATTATGAAACATTTTTCTTTGTCCATACATAACCGTTATCACGCTAAAAGACAGAGTCATTTCTTTTATTACAAGTCTTATCAACTTACATTTTTATAAAATAAATAAATTATACATTCTGAATTTTGTACAAACGTTTTTTTTTCTGTGAATTGGGAAGTTTCTCGCGATTTCAATCTTATATGAAGACTTCGTTTTCAAACCACTCGTAGATTGTTACTTTGTTGTTAACTTTAAAAACCATTCTTGTTGTGCACATAAAACCTTACTAACCTTTTTGGTTGGCTACGAATGTTCTAAAATTCGCTTCTTTTTGCGTGGTAGTTTTTCTTCTACGGTACGAATAAACAATTCGAACGTAACCCATTTTGTGAACAAATTATCGACTTCTAATATCGACGGCTTCGTACGACTCGCGTTGACGTATGTCTTGTTCAAGCAATGTCACAATCGAGGACAGGAGCCTCTCCTGTCGAGGATTATTTTTTATTTATTTACTTTTCAATCTGTGTCTGCTTTCTTTTTGCCTGGTGATCCTGCAGAGTTATCGACAGACCTGATTAACTTGGTCAAAATCTGCGCCTGTGGAAACAACAACAAGCAAACAAGTAAATAAATTTAGACTCGAGCAGACATAAGCGAATCAGAACACAACTCTACGAGGTAGATTCCTACTAGCTTCTAGCATCGATGTTAAGGCAATTTGAGTAGACGTAAATCAAAGCAAGGCGTTTTTGTGATGATTACAACTTTTGCATTATTGTTTTGCACACAATGTTTTTGTATTGATGTGGTTCTAATGAATTCACACGTTGTCTGTATTGTTGAAATTCATGATGATCCTACAAAGAAAATGGCCACCACAAAAGACCTGTTGGTTAATGGTGCTGTTTTAAATGACGTTTAGAAAATTTTCCTTGAAAAAGCTGTGCGTTACGAGTATGACTGCGGCTTACATTTTCCAGTGCTGTGATAACCGAAGTTTGCGTAAACTGTATCATTGCCAAAAAAACAGTCTGGAAGTGTAATTCAGTCATCTCCGGAAAAATAGGGAATAATTAAAAAATAGTAATAAAATACACAGAAGCAAAGCTTTTTTAGGCGACGAGGTGGATCAGCTTATTTTTACCAGAGTTGTTGAGGATTTCTATTTTGAAAGTACGTTGTACACGTTTCTTGGAAACCAGATGCTAGTCGCAAAAATTTCATTGGCGTGGACTTGTCTTGTCAACTGTTGTTTTCAACTGAACTTCGGGCGCAGAGCAAACGATGCGCAATCAGAGAAGAAACTTTACTGTTTTAGTCACTTTCTTGGGAAGTTCAATCATAATTCTACAATACTGGTTTCTTCAAAACAAACTTCCGGTAACAGATATGTCACGTCACGCAATGGCCGCGAAATTGGTCTTTGACAATGAGCCGCGAAAACACATCAACAATAACAACGATTTGAAGCTGGTTTTGTTTTACACGCCGTTATTTGGAAAATCGCCGTGGCGAGGTCTCGCAAACGATTACAACTTCACCCACTGGAACCACATTCCATGCGGTGTACAAGCGTGTAGAGTTTCCTACAACAGAAGAGATCTTGCTCGAAGCGACGCTGTGATCTTCCACGGAAGAGACTTGCCAAGTGTTAGGCACATGAAGCACATTTTGAAACAGAAACCTCCCCAACAAAGATGGGTTTACTTTATACAGGAGAGCCCCAAATTCACTTATTACGACCCGTGGCTTTATAACGGGTTTTTCAACTGGACTATGTCCTATCGGAGGGATTCGGATTTCGTCGTGCCTTACCGAACATACACCCGACTTGAGGCCGACGAGATTGAACGAATACAAGCGGACAACCGAAACTATGCGCAAGGGAAAGACCGACTGCTTGTTTGGATCGTAAGTCACTGCAAAGGACTCAGAGAAGACTACGTTCGAAAATTAATGAGCTACATTGAAGTGGACGTATTCGGATCGTGCTCACGGCGTTTTAACCAAACCGAAACGTGCCCCAGGTCTTCCGCGGCCTGCGACAACAAATTAAAACGTTATAAATTCATCTTCGCTTTAGAAAATTCATACTGCGTGGACTACATCACAGAAAAATACTGGTACACACCGCTCGACCACGATAATGTGCCGATTGTTTTAGGAGGGGCAAACTACGACGAAAAAATTGCCATACCAGGTTCTTTTATAAATATCTTGGATTTCTCGTCAGTCGAGTCTCTTGCAAATTATCTTCTTTACCTGGACAGAAACGACAGTGCTTATAACGAGTATTTTTGGTGGCGAAGACACTTCAAACCAGTGCTGCCCGAATCATGGACTTGTCAAATGTGTGCAGCGCTTAACAATGATACTGTACCGTCAAAGGTTTATAACAATATTGACGAGTATTGGGGAGAGAGGAGCAATTGTGGAAAAAGCGAAAGGAGAATACAGGAATTTCTCGGCAGCTTGATTTAAGAAACATAAACTATGAAGATACACTCTCGTTTAATTTTAATTACATTCTGCGAGACACGCGTTCCTACGGTGCTTGCGTGATGATCGCGCGAGGCGAGAGTGGATCAAGCGTGGTTTGAAGCCCTCGAAACCACCCGTTAGTTTGTTGGTTTGTTTGAAACATCCGATTGCTGACGTGTTTCGATTGGCCCAGAGTTCACTTTGTTCTCAGAAATAATTTAACTAAAATAACTTAATCTCCAAATATTAAAATATAATTTATGCTGTCATGACTTCATTGTGAAATGTTGGGCCCAAACAATCTGATACACTGGGACAATGGCTGTCTCACTGACCCTGACTTGTTTCTCTTTAACTAAACTCTCTTTCAGGCAGACACCTCGCTAAAGCGGACAGCTAGAGCCGCTCTTAAGAGTGTCCGCCTAAAGAAGAGTTCACTATTTAACGTCTTTTTCATACCTGGTTGTCGCTTTGTGCAGTGAGACCTCTCAGTTGATACACCGTAACCTGGCCTTCCGAGTCGCCGACTAAAATGGTCTGGATCTGAGCAACAACAGAAAGCACGTCAAACCAAGTAACAACAAAATAAACTAACTAAATGAAAACTTGAACGAGCAAACTGAAAGCAGCCAGCTGACGGATTGACAGACGAACAAACGAAATCTATGTTTGAATGTCTAGGGAATCATACGCCGGCCGCCACGTAAATATACAGGAAAGTAACAATGTCGTCGTCGCCGCCGCTGACGTCACCGCCGCCGTCGTCGTCGTTGTCGTTGTCTCGTTTGTCAAGATAATTGACTGGTATTTATAGGAACGCTTCGTTTCACTTCCCCTTTTTTTCCATAAAAATGTCTTCAGTATTTAGGAATCAGGGAAACCTGACTCATTTGAGGAAGAATTACCTGGGAATCGACAGCAAAACGAACAGCTGACAACTTCAGTTCCTGTACAGGCACGTGTGATATGATAGGATCCAACCTGATAAACGAACAAACAAATATTCATAGGTCTATCACCAGAGCAAAACAGTATTGTGAACGACTTGGCAATTTAGAACCGATGCCGGTATCACAGGTGTTATTAGTCCCCATGACCGCGCGAAACTCAAACTGGATTTGAACTGAAAACTAGATTCTTACGTGTTAAGGCTTAGATCCCAGATCTCCACGGCCTTGTCGTTGACACAAGCAAAGAGAGTGGCCGAAGATGGCGACCAACAGATGTCATTTACAGATTTCTGGAAACAAACAAAAGATGGCGTATAAAAATTAACGAGAACTCAATGAGGAAAAAAAATTAGAAGCTGCATTATGGTCACATGGCAGTACTTACAGTGCAGGAGAAGAATGACGTATAAAAATTAACGAGAACTCAATGAGGAAAAAAAATTAGAAGCTGCATTATGGTCACATGGCAGTACTTACAGTGCAGGAGAAGAATGACGGATAAAAATTAACGAGAACTCAATGAGGAAAAAAAATTAGAAGCTGCATTATGGTCACATGGCAGTACTTACAGTGCAGGAGAAGAATGACGTATAAAAATTAACGAGAACTCAATGAGGAAAAAAAATTAGAAGCTGCATTATGGTCACATGGCAGTACTTACAGTGGAGGAGAAGAATGACATAACAGACTGAGGCTTTTCCTGATGCCAAAGCCGAATAGTCCAGTCGGCACTGCAGCTAAGAAACGCGTCTGACAAGAATGGCGACCATTGCAAGCGATACACGGGACCCTAAGTAACAAAGAACGAGAGATTGAACGAGACTGAACTCCGTAACGAGAGAAGTTGTCCGTAAAAAGCATATCCCTCAAATTTGAAGCGAAATTGTCACTGAAATAAAATATATTCCTTACTGTGTGTCCATGATAATTTTCCAGATACTGTTCATTATAAGAGCAGGAACACTTGTGAATATGACCTTCCTCTGTGCCTGCAAGGTACCTGAAACCCGGACAAAAGAAGCAACTTAACATGAAGCACAAGCATGGCTTGCCGCGCGGTTGCTGACCTCCTTCACGTGATCAGCGGAACGAGGGGATCTTGTGCGAGTCAACAAGCGTGTGACAGAGAAGTGCCTTTGCTATATCTCAACAGAAGACGAAAGGAAATGTAACAAAGACAAAGTGAGACCCTGCTGAGAGGTCATTAAACATCGATCTACTTACATGTGTGGAGGCCTTATGGTTAGGACGCTCCTCTCCGGATCGAACAGTCTGGGTTCGAGCCCTGGCCGGAGACATTGCGTTGTGATCTTGAGCAAGACACTTTACTCTCACAATGCCTCTCTCTACCCAGGTGTATAAATGGGTACCGGCGAATTTAATGCCGGGGGGTAACACTGCAATAGACTAGCAACCCATCCAGGGGGGAGTAGAAATGTTCATGCTACGGAAACCGCAGATCGTATGCAGACTTAACCTACCAACCCCTACTTACATGTTAGAGTCGTTTGGATGAACATCAAAACAAAATCCAGCAGCGAATCGTGAAATGAGAGCATCGCTCTTCTTTCCTCCACCAGCCTTGGACTCTTTAGCTACATTAACCCGCTTCAGCTTCATCAGGTCTACACAGAAACAACAACAAAAANCCTTCCTCTGTGCCTGCAAGGTACCTGAAAGCCGGACAAAAGAAGCAACTTAACATGAAGCACAAGCATGCCTTACCGCGCGGTTGCGCGGTTGCGGTTGGGGTTCCTTCACGTGATCAGCGGAACGAGGGGATCTGGTGCGAGTCAACAAGCGTGTGACAGAGGAGTGTGACAGAGGTGTGCCTTCACTCTCAATAAAAGACGAAAGGAAATGTGACAAAGACAAAGTGAGGCTCTACTGCGAGTTCTCGTCTCCGGATCGAACAGTCTGGATTCGAGCCCTGTCCGGGGACATTGCGTTGTGTTCTTGAACAAGGTGCTTTACACTCACAGTGCCTCTCTCTACCCAGGTGTATAAATGAGTACCGGCGAATTTAATGCTGGGGGGTAACCCCGCAATAGACTAGCATCCCATCCAGGGGGGAGTAAAAATGTTCATGCTACGGAAACCGGAGGTAAGCGCCGGCCTGATGGGCCACTTGGCTCGTACATGTATGCAGACTTAATCTACCAACCCCTACTTACATGTTAGAGTCGTTTGGATGAACATCAAAACAGAATCCAGCAGCGAATCGTGAAATGAGAGCATCGCTCTTCTTTCCTCCACCAGCCTTGGACTCTTTAGCTACATTAACCCGCTTCAGCTTCATCAGGTCTACACAGAAACAACAACAAAAAAATCAAAAAGTCTAACTGTTTGCGTGCGACTGTTGAACAAAACGGCCCTCCTTAAAAAAATTTAAAGTAGTCTCGTGCCCAGACCTTTCCTGACGTCTGGAGGAAGAGTGAGAGCAGAGAAGATCTGGGTACGAGACAAGAGCGAGGTTTGGCCGGATACGGGATTAGACTTTACGAGGAGAACTGCGACTCTAACCTCGCGGGATGGGGATAAACATTCCGAGTGGGGTGGGATGGCAAGATTAAGCCAAAAATAGTGGCGGGACCCGGGATTGAAAAAAACCTACGTCGGACCCTCTAGACCGTGAAACGAAACAAAACGCTCTTTCGCAGACACACAGCTGAATGTTACAGTAAAGCTTACCTGTACATTCAAATCCTTTTCTGATAGACCACTTGGTAACCCGGCCATCCGCTGAGATAGAAATAAGGATTTCATCTCGCTCTTCCCCAGACCCCTGATCCCTGTCCACCCAGCGGACCTGCCACACTGGTGAGGCGTGTTTCCCTTGGCTCTCACTGCAACAACAGCAAAATGAACAAGGTGTTTGTAGATAGTAGAACACCGCCTTAAAAAGATTTCTTAACAAAAACGGTTAACACCGGCTTATGAAGCATCTGATGACGTTGATGTATACACTCGAGCTCGTTCCCAGGGTCCCTCTTCCTGGAGCGAGACACGTGACCAGACCCGACCAAGGTCTCTCTCTGCTTCACTTAGCGGTAAAAAGAGATACCCTGGAAACAAGGTTACCTTGCAAACTTGTGGAACATGTACTTACAAACTGTCTAAAGCTGGTGTTCCACTCCTGCTTCGTACATTGTAGATAGCAATCGTACCATCGTACATGCCCACCTAAAGAAACGGCGTGAAAACAACCATGTTACAGTCACAGGTTCGGTCTAGTTTTAGCGTAGCTTGAGAAGATCAGACTTATTGAACATTGTTGGAAAGTCAACAATAAAGGTTCGATTTTGCAAAACAATATTAAAAATTGGACAGGACTGGAACCCATTAGGAAGTGAGGAATGGCTTACAACAGCGAGAATGGAAGCGGATTGTACCGACAAAAAAAATGTAGAAACGTAATGCAGCGAGCACAAGCTGGTGATCCAGCCTTAGAATAACAATCATATAACTACTCACAGCTAAAAGGTTGGGATGAGCAGCTGAGAAATCCACAGCTGTTACTCCACTGTCCAGATGAAAAAAACGTTCAGGAAACTGTAGGAGATAAAAATAAAAAAACATTTACATTCAACAGGAATTTTGACAGACGAACTTGAAAAAAATTTCCAACTTATTCTTAAAATTACAAGTACGCGAATGACAAGTGACGCGAACATAACATGATGCAAAAATTAAGTGACTCGCATTATGTTACTGTTGACATATAGTCCCGCCATTGCGTTTTTGCTAATTTTGACGTTATTGTTCCTTTGATATAGTCGGTTTACTAAATTCAAGGACAAGTTAAAGTAACATTGCCAAGGAAAAAATTGTGTGTTACTCAAAAACGCGAAGCTAAACTGATTCAAATTACAAAATTTTCGCAAAATTGCAGTGTCCCGAAATATGCGCGCCTCAAAATCGCGAAACAAACGTGTCGCGAAAATTTCATGTTATAAGGTAATTCGAAATGTTCCCGCTGAAAGGTAATTGTTTTGATTTTTGTTTCTTTTTTAAACCGGGAGATCGTAAAACCGAGATGGCAAGACATACTTGGCGCCTAATTAGAGAAAAGGGTTTATTTACTAGTTCAGTTACCTCAGGGTTTTTGATCGACCAACAGCAGGCCAGTCCACCTTTCTGCTCAGAAAACACGAACTCTCCATAACCCACTGCAAGGATATCCTGTTGAAAATAGGGTGATCAAGAAATACGTTCTCATTACAATATTAACGCACTATCAACAACAAGGTCATGAGAATTTAGAAAGAAGATCATCTTCTCTAGATGAGATATTATCATCTGTTTGTGTAGTCAGTACTAATATGAAAATTTAATAGAGACGAAACTGGTAGGAAAACATCTGAAAAATCATCTGAAAAATGTGATCAAACACTGTCTTTCGCGTTTGATATATTACTAATACCACAATACTGTAAGGAGCTTCATAAAGCTCTGAGAAGTCAAAGCGATGTTATCGGTTCATCCAATCAGAACAAAGTAGCCATACTATTCAGTCAATTAAGTTTAAGTCAGTTTACCACACTTTCCCGCGCTTTCAACCGGCTGCAAATTCTATCCTCGAGATTGTTTACTATGCGGTAGGTAATAACTACTTACAGGATTGAGTTTGTTCCAGGCCAGGCAGCTAACATTGCGTCCCTTTGTCAGATTACAAGAGTAACTCCATAACTTGTGAAGGTTTGGACCCAGCTGAGCCAAAGTAACTGCGGCAGAATTCGCCTCCTCACCTTCGGATTTCTCAGCATCAATGTCTGGTTGAAATGAGAAATGGTCAATATTTGATAAAATCGTGCAAACGTGTTGTAATTTGAGAAACACTGTGAATCGTGTTGACACTCCAAACTGCGCAAGGTGAGCACAATTTGTGAGACTTCCACCATGATAAAGGAATTACAATATTTAGAGAGGAAGCCACGTCAACCTTGGATGGTTTTCATGCAGGTCCTCTATCCTGGTCGAAATGGAATTTGGAGATGTTGGTTTTTTGTGGAGGGAGGAAAACCGGAGAGCCTGGAGGAAAACCCTCGGAGCAAGGCAAGAACCAACAACAAACTCAACCCACATATGGCTCCGGGCCAGAATCGAACCCAGGCCACATAGGTGGGAGGCGAGCGCTCTCACAACTACGCCATCTCTGCTCCCCAAATGGTATTCTTTTTAAATTCACTTCGTGGGTCACAACGTTTGGATTCCTGAACTCTTTCCAGGTTCCCAAATGACTCTAAGATCGACATCGATGTGCTGCTTTACTACGTTGTTCGATTTTTGTTCAAATAGAATTTAATTCAGTGCAAAAATAAGATATCTTGCTAGCCCGGCCGTTAACAGCGAATCACGTGATTTACCTGGTACTATATCCAGACCTCTGTACCTCGCTTGTCTTGGTTGATAGATATTCAGTGCTATGGCTCTCTCCATTACGAACAAATCCTTCTGCATGCTCTCAGACTAAACAAAATGAAAAAAATTCAATTAGCCAGTTTGGATATATTAAAATTCAAACTTGGCTCCGAGGCTAAGGGAATGAAACAAAAGCAGTTATTTATTCATTTCTCAATCTCGACACCATTTCTTTTGTTTTATTCCTCTGAGCCTCAGAGGCAAGTTTTTTACTTGTTTGCTCGGAATTTAGCCGCGGGGGACTTGATAGGTAATTCGCTGCCGTGGTTCCCGGGGGTGGGGGCGCTGCCATATATGGGCTATATAGGTATGTGCCGCTGTGAAGGGTACGGTTTTCAAGCAGTTTACTCTAGGATAGGGTATATAAATCAGAGCNCAAATCCAAAATGGCCGGTGATTGTTGCGTTTTTAAATTCCTCCGGCGTCGTGTAGACAAAAAACATTTGATGCGTTTTCAGAGTGAAACCTCCGTTTTCAAATTCCTTCGGCATAATGTGGACGGAGCCTTAGAAAACTTGTTGCCGTCGTTGTCGTGTTCTCTGTAAACTCCCCAAGGAAAAAATAACGCTTGTCTTCATTGGAACCACGTTTTCCTAGATAGCGATAAGTAGACAGAACACAGTAATTTGAAGTTCTTGCGTACCTGGAGTATTCTTTCAGCCTGAATTGCAGCCAGGTCCTCCATCTCCTTCTCGGTAGCTCCATCTTCAGGTCTGTCGGCGCCTTCTTCTTCAATTGAACTGCTTTTAAAGGTGAACATACTTGCTCGACTCCCTAGTATACAGCAAATAAGAGAAAAACAACATCAACAATAATAGATTTCCAAAAAATGGCACGCTTGTTACACAGTCTGAATGTAAGTTCCAATTGGTCATTCCATGTGGCACAGCCCCCTCCCCTCCAACCCCATAAACATTTGAGTGAAGTCCCCCCTTCCTTCCCATCTCAACCATTTTCCATGCTGTGTCTTCTGCTAGATTTCAGTTTACCTGTTATATTGCTAGATGCAGCACTTCCTGGTCTAACAGAGCCGACACTGTCGTTATCATCATGACTGCTTCTTTCTCCACTGACTGGACGACTAAGACTCTCCAGGTGATCGTGATCTCCTTCGTCTTTCTCGCCAGCTGTTAAAAAAGTCACAATTTAGTAAGTTAAACGGTAACATGGTTCTTACTTTTGAGTCTGTGGATGAAACCCTAGTGTGTGACCATTCAAATGAAAGCTACTGAATAGTACTTTCAAGTGGCACTGTTTACTATGCTGTAAAAGGTGGTTGCAACTGTAAGTCTGTGGATGAAACCCTACTGTGTGACCATTCAAATGAAAGCTATTGAGCGGTACTTTCATGTGGTACTGTTTATTATGCTTTGCAAGGTGGTTTTAACTTTTAAGTACTTACACTGCTAGGCTGATACCTATTCCACATGCCTCACTGGCTTATATATCAGATACACTTGATTAAACCCTACTGTGTGACTATTCAAATGAAAGCTTCTGAGCAGTACTTCCACACAGAACTGTTTTCTATGTAACTGTTTTTCATTAGTAACCTGGACATTCTACTTAAGTGAGAGAGCCATGAGAATACTTCAGTCTTAACCCAAACTTACCTTCTTGATTGTTTTCTTGAGAGTTATAAGTGTCATACATATCCCAATTTGTAGCTACACAACCAACCTCCTGCAACATTCCAAGAATTTAAAAGAATCCATAAACAACTGATACAAAAATGAAGAATTAGATAAAGCAAAAAAACTATGAACTCAATTTAACAACTAATGTTTGGTTAGTAAAGTTCTACTTCATGAAAAACCCGGTTTTGAAAAAATAAAAATCCAGAAATGCCATTAGCCTGTCAGTTATAACACTTACATGTAGCTCCACCTTGTTGGACTGTATTTCTTTACTTTTCTGGCCATTGTTGAAAGTTTGCATCCCTCTCTCCACATAGCTATCATTTCCAACACGATTCTTTAAAAGCTACATGTGGTGAAGAAGAAAACAACTTGTTGGGCCTTACAAGTACATGTATACAAGTTGGGAAAAATAAGGATTACCTAAATTAAAGAGCTAGGCAGACAGTTAAGTATTGAAAAAGCCCATGGGTTTCACTTTGTGAGGGATACCTGAGCTTGTGTGTGGGCGGGTGGGTATTATGTGAGTTGCTACTACTTGCTTTGCCCTCTATATTCTCCAGTGAGACATAAGGCAACAACGATCTCTCTACATGTAGCCCTATTTTGTGAGAGCATGTTGTGCCACAGCTTGAAATCTGAGTTTTTCTTGACTAAGCTAATTAAATTGCTAGGTGGGTACTGGATGGTTACAAGGTAAGTGGTAGACAGGGTGAGTGGGTATAGGCAGGTACTGACAGAGACAGGGTGGGTGGGTAGGTTTATTGAATAAGCAGGTGGGTGTCTACTAAGCAATTAGATCTTGATCTCAAGGTTTCTATCAAATAATCTAGTAATTGTTTTAGTATAAATCTACTGGTCATTCAAAACTTATCTAAATCCTCTTCACAGACACTTTACAATCATACACAATGTCTGCACATTGTTTTAAGGCATACCTCCTCATATCTTTGGTTCTTATCTTTCACACTCTCTGCGATTTCATTGTCCTCTGCAACACAAGTGCCTGGAAAATCCAGCATCCAAATAGTTTCTGTTTCTGAGAGTGTGAGGTGAACCTAACAAAAGATAAAATACATTGTGGTCTGAACATTCAGCTGTCATATCCCTGAGATGTCTAACTGAAGAAGTAACCTAATCACCTTTCTACTGAAATACAATCAAATACTCCAATTCAGCACAGTTACCATTTTATCCAGATCTGCCTCTGTAAGTTCCTCTCGAACAAACGTGGGACGTGTCTGAATGTCTGCGTAGAAGAGGATGAAAAGATTAAGAAATGTCCTATTTTGCATGAGTAGTTTATAGACTTGGATTTGGGAATTTTTTTCCAGTACCTCCAAGTGAAGTTGCAAATTTGTCATGGTAACCAGAGCTTGGTTCAGCTAGATCCTCACTGACAGATTCTGGAGATGATCGGCCAGACACAGAACCAAATACTGACCGAGAAAAGCCACCATACATACTGGCACTGCTTGCCGCATAGAAGGACTGGCCTGTCATTTCTGAGGCTACAGAGGGCTGTGGAAAAGAATGTAAAATAATTTTAAAAAAATAGATTTGAGAAAGACCTCTACCCAAGAAA